GCGTATTTAAAATGATTGCGCTTGGTTCAAGGCACTAATTATTGTTATTTATATATAAATATACACAGACAAATTGAAATGATTTATTGCAGATAGAGTTAGGAAATGGCTACTGGGAGAAGTGTTGTGGTAGGAGGAGTACATATCGTTAAGGGTAAATCTGGTCGGACAGGGTTTGTCGGAGCCCCTGCAGAAGGGCCTGCCGACCTCGAAAAGAAAAGGGCTAGTTACATACGCATGCATTTACTGATAGTAAGAGAGGTAACGAACTTGTTAAAGGCACGATTTGACCTGGCTGTACCGCCACACCAACTTCATGCAACGTTACAAAGTTTTATCAATACCTTAAGTTATGCAAAGAATAATAATCTTCTTAATGCAACGCAGTGGAACCTTATGTTTCCGCAATGTCACCAACCGACTTCAGACAACTTCGATGCTTCTCTACTAGCTTATCTACTGAGAATCATCTGTGGACTTAATTCAAAGTCGAAATGGTGGGATGAAACTGACAACAGCAAGATTCCTGATAATGTAGTTACTGAAGAAGCTGACATTGCTCGATTGAGAAACTTAAAGAATGATGTAATTCTATTACTATTTCTTGATATAATTTTTAAGTAATTTCTTACTGTTTAAAAATCATTGTATTTAAATCAATATGTCAAAATGTCCTTATCTTAACTAGATCGGAGCAAATGTTTCGCTAATTCACCGGCATAGTATTGTTTGTTATATCATAAAATAAATGCTTCTCTGTGCACTTACGTTAATTTTTAAAAACAATTTAATAGATGCAGCACAAAGAAGTAGCTTCATTAGAGCCGGCAGAATTTCAAGACATGTGGGACCTTGCAGAAAAGGTATTAATGTCTATAGCATTGCCTCTTGTTGTTTTGTTTGTTTTTTTTGCCAGCGGATGAATATTTTATATTTCCTCATATAATGGCTTAAAATGGAGAAAAGCACAATCCCTAAAGAAAGCCTAAGACGACAGAATTGAAAATGTTGCAGGCTCAGTTTGATTGAGTCTGTTCATGGACGGTACTTGAAAGTGCAACTTACCGTCCAAGCCCCATAGCACTGGCTTAAGCAGAATTCAACATTCAAATACGAAAATGTTGAAATTTTGAATTTAGAAACATCCATAAATGTGTTCATATGTCGGTTTTCTTTGAACCTTCAATGTGACTAAGCCTAATATATTGAAGATGGAAAAGTGATCAGCCTGTTCTTTAAATGTCTAGAATTAACACAAAAAGATATCTTTACATTCAGAGCTTTCCATTAAACTTCACAAGAACATATCTAAAAGAAAGTACGTGTCGAAATTCATGTTTTCAAATTGTTTTTTATTGTATACATTAACAATCAATCTGGCATGCCAAATTACTTGTCGAACAGTCCAACACATATTTATTAAAAGAACACGACATGCTTTGCAACATAAATTAATTGCCAAGATTCTGGTATTCTCATTGTAGATAAAACTGATAAAAAGCGATATAATATCATAACAAATCTACATCACTGATGACTGCATTTCTGTTTTACTGTTAACTTAACTACTGAAAGAGCTTGAATAAATTAATAAAAGCGATAAAGATTAAAACAGTAGGTTTTTTGTACCGCATATCTTTTATCTTTTTTATCCAAAACAGATTTGGAAATTTATACACGGTTTTTATCAAAAGCTGAAGAGGTATATGTGATAATATATGTATTATGCCGTCTTGCGTTTAACTTTATTATACCAACTTTTTATTAAAAGTAATAAAATTCATCGCTGTCATTCTCATGCTAATTTTTAAAGTACCTCATGACATTATATTAATAGACGCGCTTTTCAAAAAAGATATACTTTGTATGGATATTACTTGCATTTAGCATCGATGATTGTCGTTTTGAAAAAGAAATCGTTATTAACAAAATTTCAAACAATATTTATAAACAAATGACTAAGGTCTAAAAATGAGCACTCGACACGACGTCTTACGGTAGCGTTGTAACCTCTAATCAAGAGAGTCTCTCATTTTCCGCTGTTTATTGTTTTTATTGTGACAGTTTAATGGCGAACCCTTTTTTTTTTCTTTATATTTAGGTAATGTCTCGACTTGCGGCAAAATTACAAATACAAGATCAAAAGCAGAACATTGATGATTTGAAAACCAGACAATTTGATTTAGTAACAGATGAAATGGAAAGTATAAGAGGTAAGATAAATGCTTCAAATGTAAAAAGTGAAGTGTTTCAACCTGTAGTACTGTGTATAATTGGCTGCATACATTATAATTTTATTAGATTTTTTATTGAAGTGTTTCTGTCATCGGATCTGATAAGTAAGTTTTATTATCTGAGCAGTACTCTCATGAGTAGGAAATGGCTCATGATTTGTTCTTAAGTTTAGGAATCTGACATTTACTTTTATTATTAGTATTATTAAACTGTTTACAGGAAATACCGAACATTTTCTACAAATCTATCAAGACGATCTTCAATATGTAGAAACTACTGCCTACCAGAAAGCAATGTCAATTTTAAGAGATAAACACATGGTAATACTAATTGGTCATCCAGGGGAAGGTAAAACTACTATGGCTGCAAGACTTGCCTTAAATGTAAGTCACTCCCCACGTAACTGCCTTAAACTTGTAGCGCCATCTGATTGGAGAAAAATCGATTTGTCATTAAAACTTTTTGATACAATAATCATAGATGACATATTTGGTGCTGGTGCTTTAGATCAGAAGTTGGTCGGTGATTGGCGATATTATCTGAATGAAATAGAGAGAGCAGCAAAGAAAAAAGCTGTCCGGGTGATAATAACGTCCAGGCATAACATATATGAGGAATCTAAAAAAGAACTTGGTGCCTTGCCAATGTTCAAGAAAGCTCTTCTGCTTACAACTTCTGAGCTTACATCCGACGAGAAAACAAAAATTCTAAAAATGCAGTTGGCAAGAAATGACAAATATCTGGAAGACAAAACAATACACGAATGCGTTAAAGCTACGGAATGGCCGACAGATGAAGTAAACGATTTTCTGTTCGGATTTCCAGAAAGTGCATCTATGTTTGTAAGAAACAACGCCATACTCGACAAAGGTGTATCATTTTTTAAGAAACCAGCTCAATTCATAAGGAACTATTTAGAAATTTTGTATAAAGGCAATGAACAAAAAAAGTTTTTGGCACTTGTAGCTGTGTGGGCCAGTGATAATAAAAAGTTATCACGAGCAAAACTAAGGAATGGGAAAAATGCATACGGACATGTCAAGAGGATAGCTGAAATATTCAACCATGATTTTAACAGAGGCTTTCTTGACGAAATTCTTGTGTCATTAGATTCTCATGTTGGAGGATATCTTGTTTTCATAGAGGCTACTGGAGAGTATGCTTTTAGTCATAATGTCATCGCAGATATGGTTGGTTTGGTCTTTGGTAAACAGAAACCAGACGAAGCTGTAGAAATATGTCCACGAGACTTTCTTATGGAGTTTGTTTCAATCGAGGAAGACAAACAAGATGATTCTAAAGTAGCCTTAATGGATAGACAAACCGACTGTCTAATAGTAAAATGTGTTAAAATGCTTTTCCGGGACAACTGTAACCAAGATCCTAAGGAAACCAAACTAGATGAGTTTCAAAAACTTTCCAGGACCGGACAGAATAATAATTTCATTTACATTATCCGCATGATTGATTTTGGTATCATTAAACACAAAGCTTTTAGCTCTGAGAGATTTGTGAAAGCGTTCATCGACTATATCATTGAAGAAAATCTCGTACAAAAGTGTTTCTCTTTACCCGTCATGATAATGATGGGACATTTCCTTGACTATGGGATATCTATGAAGCTACTTGATATGTGTCTGATGGGATATGCCTGGTATACTGGAGCAACGACATTTGCAAAGGAAGTTATGATACGGCGGGTACTCGGAGAAGAAAATGTCGATTTGTCTGTACCCTTATTGTTGGCCGTTCACTCAAGACAAAAAGATTCAGTTGAATTCCTCCTTCGCCATGGAGCTAAAGTAACTGGCGATGCGATATATATCGCCTCACATAAGAGCATAGAGCTTCTTAAGATATTACTTCAAAATCCAGGAACAAACGTCAATGACAGAGGACATGCAGTCAATGGTAATTTTCCTTTAATTGTAGCAGCAGGAAAGGGTCTAACTGAAGCTGTGAAATGCATGCTTAACTCAGGTGCTGATGCCGGAGTACAGAACACAGCACACATGACGGCATTACATAAAGCAATAGTATACAAACATAAAGATGTGATCAAGCTATTGATAGATGCCGGGGCACCACTTGATAAAAAAGGGGGTAAATTAAACAGAACCCCATTGCATTTAGCAGTTGATTTGAATGAAATGGAACTTGTGGAGGTTCTCCTTGAAAAAGGTGCTTCTTTGATGGTCAAAGACCATAGAGGACAAATCCCAATACATATTGCTGCTATAAGAGGAAGAACTGATATTCTACAAGCACTTTACTTAGCGGATCCAAGCCAAGACAAACTATTAATTTCCTACTATGGTACAGAGTCTTTTATCAGAGGACATTCATTATTTCATATTGCCGTTTGGAAAAAGAATGAAGAGCTTCTAGATGCTTTGATAGGACTAAACGCTGATCCAAATGTAACAGATTTCTATGATCAGACGCCTTTGTACTTTGCAATTATGAGAACAGAGGAAAGCTTCGTGAACAAATTATTAAACTATGGGCGAACCGATAAGAGAAAACCACAAAAGCAAGGTTTCACTCCTCTACATGCCGCTATTCACATTGGTTTATATGACATTGCAAAACGTTTGGCTTTAGATGCTAATGTAAACGCAGAAGACGAAAACGGAAAAACGGCACTTCATGTAGCATGTGAAAAGGCAAATGTTGGGTTAATACAGACTCTTCTTGCAAAAGGAGCAAATCCAAGAGTTGTCACGAAGAGAGGCGAAACTGTCTATCATATCTTGAAAAGAAGTGAGAAGAAATTGTCTATAAGAGGATGTAACGATGCACAACGTGCTGAGCAAGTCATTCGTGAATTTGACCCGGAATTCGTTGAAATATTGCCGACAAGAAGAAATAAATTCGGCTCAGAAATCAGACCCAAAGGAAGAAAAAAACAGAAACACAACACAATGCATTCATATGAAAGTAATGATTACTTAGCAGCGTGTGCTTCCATAGAAGATATGTATGACAATCCAAAAGCAATCAAAAAAGGGAAAAAGAAAAAAGTGAAAAAAGATATGTTTGACGATTATGGCGACTACTTTTAAAGGAACGAAATTGAAAATCATTGAAAGAAGCCGTGTCTTTTGTTTAATCGTATGTGCTGAGATAATGAATCAAATGTACAAATAACTACAAATGTTAGACGTAATGTTTGCTGATAAAATTACATGATTATGTTCTGGCAATAACATGTGTCTTAATATTTACTTGTTTATTAATATTCTATATATAAAGCTATAATTGTATATTTAAGTTTGATGCTAGAATTAAAACATGTCATAACGTGATATGAAAATGTACCATAACTTTTATTAAATACTATGTGTATTCTTAATAAAACAGACAATATTAATTCTTAATTCACATAGACATGAATATAATAAAAATAAGTTGATTCCTATGTTTGAATTTTAAGGTAAGATGTTTGATAGTTTTTGATTGTAATCCGTTTCTGCTAACGAATTTTGAATAAAATCAAAGAAACCAATATCGTTTACTAGTGTTAAAAATAATGTAGCATTTCATTCTTCTTACCATACAATTATTGAAAGTGTTTGTGTACAGGTCAAGTCTCAGAAAATCATTTTCCTTGCAAAATTAAAAATGAAAAACTCAAAATGTTTATGTTTTAAGATATTTTCCTTTTAAAATGTTTATCATGTTAAAACAAACACGTGTATGTCTTCAAAAATAAAGACATGCTTTCATTTAACATGTATATACGAATAATTTATTGAAGAATATAGTGAGTAAAGATCCCTGTCATATATGTCTATCCCATAGACGTATGTCGTAAGCGGTGTAATATGGTTTAAAAATACAATATATTGATTTCCTTTCATTATGTCTAATATAATGGTACGCTTTTTATTTTAATTTTTAAACAAAAGAATTAAGGTATAAGTGTATATATGAATTTCTTATTTGTTTATAATTGACTATTAGAGCATGTAATCAGCGATTGTATGTAGTATCATAATACATTCATATACATATATGTTAAAATCAGAGAAAACAATACAGTTTGGTTTAATTAATACCATACAACGTTACATTTCTTCAGTAATTGATAATTTAATTGACAATCAATTTAGTTACCAAAGTTATTAAGAAATGGGATGTTCAGCAAGTTTAGTTCTTCCTTCGGGGGATCAACCATATGAACATGTTGGTTTTCTTCAGTCATCAATGAAGAGCTTGGATAAGTACTTTTACCTTCTTCATAATAATATACGGACAGAGAATACGGATGAAATTGTACATTTAAGGGAAGGTGTTGAAAAGTGTATGCAGTCTCTGATCAAACTTGTAAGCTTAAAAGACACAAGGTTGAGTGTGGATAATAATCAGCTGTTGAAAGTTGGTAGCATTTATGAAGGCACTAAAGTGGGTAAATCAGATCAGTTTGATTACATTGTCGTGCTGAGTGAGTTGGAAAGAAATGAGGTTATTATAGAAGATTTAAACCATCCTGTAAATGGAACCGACGTTAAAGTATGTATTCCACGGAATGAATATCTTGGCGATAAGCGGAAAGAATACAAAGAATTTGAAGACATGTGGGCAGATATCACTGCCAATTTCTACTTAATGGGAATGAAAACAAAAAAGAACAATAAACTAGGATTACTCGATATTTTTGAAAAATGCATCAGAAAAGTTTCTATGTTCATTCCGCCTTTTAAAACTAAGCTCGGGACTCTTGAAATAGATAATACAAAACGTGTCTGTAAGGAAGGATCGTCGGTACGAATTACTTTTAAGTGGACCAAATGGTGGTTTGAAATTGAAGAATTAAGGCGAGTTGACAAAACATCGACTGAA